AAAGTTAACTTTTTAGACCTAAATATAGACCTTACAAATAATGCTATTAAAATTTATAATAAAAAAAGTAATTATAATTTCAATATTATAAAATACTGTAATATGAATTCTAATATTTCATTAAATTGCTGTAAAGGTATATATTTTGGTCAGTTTCTAAGATTTTATAGAATAAATAATATATTAGAAAATTTCATAGAAGATGTTAAAAATTTAAACATGGAATTTATTAAAAACAAATTTAGTATCAGACAAGTAAAATATTTCAACAGTATATCAATTATAAAATACTTAAAAAAAAATAAATGGAAGTATCCATTTATTAAATCAACTTTCTATAATTTCTTTCAATAATCAATACTACAAATTTATAATCTTCAACAGTTAGATAAACTTAAATTAAATAGCTGATTTGAAGATTTTTTCACAAGATTTTTAAAGTAATATTGTATATAATTCATTTTGTTTATTCTCCAATTTCTGGGGAGGAAAATGGAAATTAAATAAAAGTGAATTTTCACAATTAATAGCTTTATTAAACTCTAATAATTTGCCTTTTTAAAGGAATATTGAAAGATGAATAAGTGTTGAATCAATTATTTTAATTTTAACTGACTGTAAAGATTATAAAATTTGGATTTCTTCCCTTAACTATCTTATCTTTATTCTTTGAATGTCTTGTTCTCCCACAATTCGGTCTAAATTTGTCCCCACCCCCCCCACAACATGTGTTATCCAGAAATAGTTGTTTACAGTTGAAGGCGTTCGCGGACAAGGTAGGTACACATTATATCTGTTCATATAAATGTTTCACTGTAGTAACTTTATATTAACACATAAAATACGGTTGAAAGGAGGTCTAGACATAATAGAGAAGGGATGAAATGTTGAAAAGCTGAATTTCTATTTGAGAAGTCCCGGTTCAGCAGACCTCTTTTTTCAATAATTACTCCAATTTAAGTTTTTTGTATATGTCTGGTCTACCATTAGGGTTTCAAAACATAATAACCAAACTTATAATAAAAGTTAATTCATATTATAGTTATTTTACTAAATACAACTTTTTATATTCATATTTTAAAATAAAAAAATTTAAAAAATCTTTAAAAAAAAAAGAATAAAATATAAAATTATAAAAAAATATATATATATACTAACAATCTTATCTACCTTATTTACAAAACTTTTTGTTTTCTTTCTATTAGTTTGATTAATAGTACATGGTTCTGTCTTTCTATCTTTTTTCTAACTATTATATATATTATCTCTTCGATTATTCTATATATAGGATTAGAGTATGTCTGAATGACGTGTAAAAGCCGATGTAATAGACGTTACTTTGTTAATTTTTTTATTGTTATTAATTATAATTATATAATTAACTAGAGGATGTTTTAGAAGTAAAGAATTTTTTTTTTTTTTTCTCTATCTATACTAAATAATAACAATTAACAAATTTATAATTTGAATTTAAATAATCAAACTAATGAAGATAATTTTAATAGAATACTTAACTATAAAACTATACAACTATTTATTTTTATATATATATATATATATATTTTTTTTTTATAAGAAAAGTGTATAAATGCAGGATACGATCCCGGGTGGTAGCTGTCCAAAATCGACAGTTTATATCTCTCCAGTCAATTCTATTGATGAAACAAATTACCTCTCAGAAAATATTCCCATCTGTAGTTTGTCGATTAGAGTTGGCCTAGTCCAGGGTTTGGAAAACTGGCTGCGAGCCACATGCGGCTCTGAATGTGAAGCTGCTGCTCTTTTTATAGTTCTATACGTAATAATTACACAGGTCTACAAAAAAAACTTTTTTTTTTGCACAAGAGAACCTGATGGTGTTTCTAGTGTAACTTTTCATGCTGAACTCAAAAATCTAATCAGAAATTTCCCATCACCCATGGTTTTTGCCTGACGATCTGAAAGATACGGTTGGAAAATATGCAGCGATTTGAAAGTCGTTGCTCTCTTGCGTGGATTACAGCTTGGATATACAAAATTTTGTTGTTTTCTGTGTGAGTGGGATAGCAGAGATAGGGAAAGGCATTACATTAAAAAAATCTGGCCAAACCGTAAAATCTTTACTCCAGGATATAAAAATATTGCAAATCCACCCCTGATCGATTCAGAAAATATTTACTTACCACCATTACATATTAAACTGGGATTAATGAAGAACTTTGTCAAGGCAATGGATCGAAATGCCAGTGGATTTGCCTACCTAAAACAAAAATTTTCTAGTATAAGTGAAGCGAAGATTAAAGAAGGCATTTTCGTTGGACCTCAGATTCGAGAATTGCAGCAGGATGGAAATTTTCAAAATAGTTTGAATGAATTTGAAGCAGCAGAATGGAATTCCTTTTGAAACGTTTGCAAAAACTTCTTAGGAAGTGTCAAGGTTGAAAATTACCGAGACATAGTTAATGATCTGTTGCTTTCCTACAAGGCACTGGGATGTAACATGTCCCTCAAGATCCATTTCCTGCATTCACATCTAGATTTCTTTCCAGACAATCTTGGCGCAGTTAGCGATGAGCATGGTGAGAGGTTTCATCAAGCTATATCAAGCATGGAGAAGCGGTACCAAGGTAAATGGAGTCCCGCTATGCTTGCCGACGACTGCTGGGCACTCAAGAAGGATCTACCACAAGCAAAGTATAGAAGAAAATCCACTGTCACTGCTTTTCAATAATAAATATGTTTCGTTCATATATGCCTATATATTAACAATATTTCCAAATTCAAGTAGGTGTATCTCAGAAATATTGTGTAATAGAAAAAAACTAATGGTATATTTGGATTCAGGACATGTAGATATGATGCTATTTCTTTGTGGACAAAGAAAAATATTTTTTGATAAACCAGTTACGTGACATTGTTTGCAATTTTTAGTGTATTTATCCCAATACTAAAAAAAGACCGTCACGCAAAAACCATAGGTGATGGGAAATTTCTGATTAGATTTTTGAGTTCAGCATGAAAAGTTACACTAGAAACATAATCAGGTTCTCTTGTGCAAAAATCTTGTTGACCAGTGTTATTTATGTAAGTATTTGTTGACTTTGCTTAGAATTATTAATGAAACTGAATCCAATAATTATTAATTAAACATTATATTTATTGATTTACAAGAGAGAGAACAAAATATAAAAAGGAAACTAATATTAAACAAAGGAACTTTTGTTTTGTTTTGGTTAGCGCCTATTTACCTGTGAGCTTACACACACTCTGTGGTAACAATTAATTAATATATATAACAGTACTATTTATTGTTGGCAAGAAAAAAATGTTGTGACTCTTTAAAAACTTTGAAATTTTGTAAATTGTAAGTTTTTGATTTTTCCGAATCAAAAGGATGCCGACCTCTGGCCTATCCACTTTGCTAACTCAACACTTCTTTGTCAGTTTCTGTAGATTGTACCAATCCCTTGTGGATCTCGTGAAATCAAAGCTGGAATGACGAAGGGCCATTAGACTGAAAGCATGGTCTACAATTGGACATTCTGAATTTACTAAAGCTGGTGTTGTGTCACCGTCCCGAGTCCGCGAAATTACAAAGACGATCGATAGATAGTTTTATCGTCTACTAGACGGGTGGCTTCGCCCCGGGATTGACCCGTGTGCATATCTACCCGAGTGATATATATTTAGATAAGATTTTTTAAAATAATTGTTTGTTATTTGCATTATTTATTTGTTTGCATCAGCATAATTTAATCTAATCTTTGATAGAGGGCGCTGTTCATGAGCTAAGTAGAATAATTTGAATATATAGTTTTAATAATTGATATATATATATATATATTTTAAAATAGCCTATCGTCTTCCCCGTATTTTTTTTTACCTATGTATGGAAATTTTGGTTTGAATTAGTGAACTACTGCGAATTTGTATACCGGACATATACAAACAGACAAACATTCATTTATATATATATAGATTTTAACGAGAAATTTTAATCTTCATTTTATAGAAAACACAATATCCCCCTGGAACATTTTCCAACTATATAGGATGGCACTTTGACATGTCAAAATAACTCAATTGTGTGTTCAGGGTATATATACATATAGATGGAAATTTTGCCGGGAGGATATTGATCTAAAGAGACAAAGGTCGCCTCTCCCGTCAAAATAGACGTCAAAACTTGGCTTTGTAACCGACCCGAGGCCGCTAGTTTGCGGCGACGGTCAATAGATGGCGTCTAGTTTTGACATCTATTTTGACGGGAGAGGCGACCTTTGTCTCTATATACATATATACCCTATATGAATGTTTACATTTATTTTTGAGAAAAACTTTATATTTCAATCTTATATATATAAAGAAGTAAAGGTGTTTTGAGAGTTATTTAAAAGAAATTTGTGTTTAGAAGTGCATACGAGTATACTACTCCAATGTCTGTTATTTGATAAACTCCCAGTGAAGAAAATTCCCAAGCAGACGACAGTTTAAATTCCAGACATCTACAAAGACAGACCGCAGTCTATTATGGGATGTCTACACGGCGCGAATTTACATATGTCCAACCTTTCACTCTCTCTAAAGGAACACAAACTTACACATCATCTGATTCATTCTTTATTTTTGTTTTCTCTCTCTCTTTCTCTCTTTTTTTTTTTTGTCGTTTGGGATGTTGCGATTCACCGCGTTGGAATTACTCATGGGAAGTCAATTTCCTATTTCACCTATGGTTACAAGGTCGTTTGCTCACATAAAGTTCGATAAAGGTATAATCCTCGAAAGTTCGATTTAAAAAAATATATATTTTATTTTTTAATAGAGAAAAACTTATAATACATTTAAAATACAATATAACGCGGCTTATGATTGTAAAACGAAAATTGCAATTATACCGCGAATGTTTCTTTTAAACAAAAATCGAAATTTATTTTAAAGAGAAATAGTGATTATTTCTAACTTTAAGGATGAAGTATGATAGGATGAATTGTGAAGAGTAATGATAAACGGAAAAATAAAAGTGTCCAGGGATGGGAAACGAACCCACAGTGTTCCGCTTACCGGGCAGATGCCATGTCCACTAGGCTTGCCATCCCTGGACACTTTTATTTTTCCGTTTATCATTGCTCTTCACAATTAATCCTATCATACTTCATCCTTAAAGTTAGAAATAATCGTTATTTCTCTTTAAAATAAATTCCGATTTTTGTTTAAAAGAAACATTCGCGGTATAATTGCAATTTTCATTTTAGAGAGATATTAAAACTACTTTATTTTATCGTTCATATAAGGTGGGTATATAAACACTAGGTAATAAGACCAAATCCAAATAAATAGTGTGTGACATTTCAGTAACAGCGTTGTTACCATCTTCAGACAAAAGTACTGAAACTTACTACAGATTACAATTATTTTATTTCCAAAGCGCTATATCCCGCAAGGGATACTTGCGCCAAACAAGGAGAAAAGTTTATTTACATAAGTTATTTACATTATTCAACGCATGAAAACATTAGAGATCCAGATTTTGTAGAAAGTTTAGAATGTATTTACAAAATGAATTGAACTTTAAATATGATTTTTTATCGGAAATCAAATAGTTAAGTTCACAAATAACTAGTTCATTCTTCATTCTATAATCTTGAAATACTGGGCAATCGATCAGTAGATGTCTTGAGGTTTGTTTCTCAATACCACAAAAGCAACTTGAATCCGCACTGCCTTTATTCTATTTAAAAAACTTTTGAAATTTCGTGGTTTGTAACAAATTGAGTATTATAATTATTAGACGAAGTAGATTCAGTAGCTGTTCAACGCTGTTACCGAAACGTCACACACTATTTATTTATTTGGATTTGGTCTTATTACCATGTGTTTATAATCTATAATCTAAATTGTGCCGTATCATGGTTATATAAGGTTAAATACATACAAATATTGCAAAATTGGAGAGGAGTGGACTTCAGGAATTGGTTTAATCATGGCACCACCACAAATATATAAATAATATTATATATTGATATATTAGAGCGCCATCTGTTATCAAATTATAAAACTATTTTAGAGGCGTAATATCGCAGTAAGGACAGTAGAAATTGTTTTATTTTAAAAAGAATATTACGCCTCTAAAATAGTTTTATAATATTGATATATATGAGCATAAATAAATATAAATGTATAAAATTGATAAATATATATGTTATAATATATACTCTTCCAGGAACAATAAAGCCAACCTACAGACAACCCAGAGAGAGACGGGAGGGTAAAGTCCGGTCACTTGAGACACCAGCGACATTCCAAGGGGCGACCACTGGGGCCTGTCAGTTAACACCTCGGGACTTTTAAGACAGTTGGAGATTGCGTGCGACACGAACGGCTGCCTGGATGTGCCGGTCCCGTCTCTCTCCTGGTTGTCTAGGTCCCGCTTTCAACTTGTGATGTGATATTATTTCTCTCCCCACCTTATAATACCACATATATATGGGCATAAATAAATATAAATGTATAAAATTGATAAATATATATAATATAAAATATATACAAGGTCTTCAGTGATGGCGCCCACCGTAGGAAAGACTCCGCCACCGATGGACTGCGAGTGTTCTTTCCCACAGAGTGGGCAGGTCTATGTGAGACACTTAGTTCAGTCTGTCTGCAACTGTGACTAAAGTTACTATTACGGGTTACCACACAAAAATGGAATATACTAGGACCTAAAGTAAATGTAACTTAATACACAGAAAAGCGTACACTCAAGAGTAGGACAACAACAACAAGAAGGAAGTAAATAAAACTCACGATTGGTAAAATAAAAACAAAACAGTACTTATCTTTATTGTAGCGTTGGTAGGGATCGGACTCGGGTCACACCGGGATGCGAGGAGATCCCCAGACACGGAAAAATCACGTGGAAAAACACTTTAAGCGTCTCCACACCAATTCTCCTCGCTCTGGGCCCCCTCGCATTCCCTTAGTCCCCTCTTATATACAGACATGCCCACATTCGTCCAATAAGAAGACGTGAGAGATTGGTTCACTAACAAACGAAGACAACATTCTTCCCGTTAAAAACTGATCAGAAAAAAGTTAAAATGTTTGTTAATATAATTTGACAACTGGTCAAGAAATTACTCTCTACTGATGCAGATCAGAATCGAAAACCGTGGATCGGCTTCCTGAGTTTAACAAAGATGGTGTTCTAACAAACGTATTCGATTCTATGTACAGTTGGAAATACGTACATTTTGCCGGGAAGAAAATGTGATTTCAAAAAAAATAATTGTCCCCTCTCCCGTCAAAATAGACACCAAAACTAAGCGCCATCTATCCCCGTTTCTGTAATATCTAGCGAACTTGGGTCGGTGACAAAACCACTATACCATAGGCAATTTTATTGACTGGCTGCTAGTCGATGGTTAAAAAAAAAATTGAACGAAAAAGAGAAAATACACTTATGGACAAAACTTAAGGAAGTTGTACCTTTTAGCATGTATATCGGGATTCAGACAATAACTCTGAAAGATATTACAGTGACCTTTATTGAAAACACACGAGATAACCAAGTGTATATACACTCATGGACAAAACTTAAGGAAGTTGTACCTTTTTACATGTATATCGGGACAATAACTCTGAAAGATATTACAGTGACCTTTATTGAAGACACACGAGATAACCAAGTGTATATACACTCATGGACAAAACTTAAGGAAGTTGTACCTTTTAGCATGTATATCGAGACAATAACTCTGAAAGATATTACAGTGACCTTTATTGAAGACACACGAGATAACCAAGTGTATATACACTCATGGACAAAACTTAAGGAAGTTGTACCTTTTTACATGTATATCGGGACAATAACTCTGAAAGATATTACAGTGACCTTTAGTGAAGACACACCAGATAACCAAATGTATATACACTCATGGACAAAACTTAAGGAAGTTGTACCTTTTAGCATGTATATCGGGACAATAACTTTGAAAGATATTACAGTGACCTTTAGTGAAGACACACGAGATAACCAAGTGTATATACACTCATAGACAAAACTTAAGGAAGTTTTATCTTTTAGCATGTATATCGGGATTCAGACAATAACTCTGAAAGATATTACAGTGACCTCTATTGAAGACACACGAGATAACCAAGTGTATATACACTCATAGACAAAACTTAAGGAAGTTTTATCTTTTAGCATGTATATCGGGATTCAGACAATAACTCTGAAAGATATTACAGTGACCTCTATTGAAGACACACGAGATAACCAAGTGTATATACACTCATAGACAAAACTTAAGAAAGTTGTACCTTTTAGCATGTATATCGGGATTCAGACAATAACACTGAAAGATATTACAGTGACCTCTATTGAAGACACACCAGATAACCAAGTGTATATACATTCATAGACAAAACTTAAGAAAGTTGTACCTTTTAGCATGTATATAAAAGGTTTTTTTCTGAGAATCAATATGGGAATAGATACACCATGTATGAAGTAGATTTTTATTCCTAAAATTTACAATTTCGTAGACTTTTTAAAATTATTATTATTTTTTTAATACTTTGAAGGAAAAAAGCTAATAAAGTATAAAATCCTAAATCATGAAGATTCCTAATTTCTCCTGGAGATGGTCACTCAATAAAGTTTTTCACTTAAATTAGGTTAAACCATTTTTGGATTACAATTACAAATACAATCATTTTATTTACAAAGCGCTATATCCCGCCAAACAAGGAGAAAAGTTTATTTACATAAGTTATTTACATTTTTCAACGCATGAAAACATTAGAGATCTAGATATTGTAAAAAGTTTAGAATGTATTTACAAAATGAATTCAACTTTAAATATGATTTTTATCGGAAATGGATTTTAAAGGTTTCTCACGGTTTTTTTACGGCATGAAGTCCATTATTACGATGTTTTTTTACTGTGTATATAGGAAGGAAAGTTATAAAAAGATAAAGAAATGAGGATATTTTAGATAGAAAAAAATCGGTTACAGAATGACAAGAAAGCAAAACTGAGATTTCCCGTGAAGTTAGGGAAGCTCCCACTCCACGTTGGTACTGGCCGTCATCTGCTGGTTAAGGGAGAGATCGCCCTAAGGTCACGTGACCTCTTGACCTCACCACCTCCCTGTCTTACGCCCAGCTTGTCATGGTGACGACCCTTCACCATGCCATGGTATTATGGAAGCCTTCTTTGTTTGGTTAGAAAGTGGTTAGTTTGAAGCGATCTTCGCCAATATTGGTTTGGATTTTTCTCATTAGACAATTGACAATTTCATTGATTCTTCTAATCAATTTTTACAAAGGTGGTAAAATATATAATAAAATAGTAAATAAAGGGTAGATAAAATGTAGGGGAATATATATATAGTTGTATATGTGTACAAATTTCTTCAATAAGGAAGACTTCCCCACCTTGAGAGAGTTCTCCTCCAGACAAGGTCTTCACTCCTCAGTTATACACCGAGGAAGTACCTATAGATGTGGGTCTTGACAGACGCCCTGATGGTATCATCTTCTAGGCCTTGCCCGAAGATCTGCAGGTCAGGAGGCCGCCCGATTATGGTAAATGCCTCCCGGATTTTTTTCATTAGAGCTTAATCAGTTTATACAATTGTCTTGCATAGGCTTTGTGGTTTATATATATACGTATATAAATAGATACATTAAATTAATACAGTAAAACCTCCATGAGAGGACATTCCAGTTAGAAGACACCTCTCTATAAAGGACAGTTTTCATTGTCAAAATTACCATTTTTGCTATATAAAAACTCTCCTGTTAGAGGACATCTCTCTTTGCTCTGCAAAGAGCAAAGGTGCCTTTACAGAGAGGTTTTAATTTATAAAGTAATATCGCGCCATCTATATATATATGTGAAATTAAGGTATTAAGTGTGAAAGTCTTTGATATCACCGCTCGTCTTTTTTTTTAAGAGGACAGAGGCAATTTTGTTCTCATTTGATTATCTCGTGTGTCTTGAATAAAGATCACTGTAATATCTTTCAGAGTTATTGTCTGAATCCCGATATACATGCTAAAAGGTACAACTTCCTTAAGTTTTGTCCATGAGTGTA